CTAGAAGCTCAAGGTCATCCTTTGTCTCCGTACTTTCACACTTGACCGGAAGCAGCTGGGTGTGGATGCCAGAGTGGAAGAAGAAGTTTGGACTATGTGATGGATTGTGGGTGTGGGGACAAAATCATGAACTTTTAACTGGGTGGAATTCTGATGCCATTTCCAGTATTGGGATTCCACAGCATGATGCCAACATGTCTGTCTTATTAAATTGGAACCTAAAGGATAGCTCTGCCTTGGACTCTGATTTAATTCTGCATGATATTTGAACACTGACATTAGAGCCTTCTTGCAAGTTCTCAGGAAAGCATAGTAAAATACCTTGATTCAGATGCTATTGAAAATGTTTCTTTTTAAAAAAATATTAATGATTGTGTTGTTTTGTTCTATTCTATTTTTAAAATTAAGAATTATTAAACGTATGAGATTATTGAAAACTTTCCCCTATTAATGAGTCTATAGATATGATTAAAAACTATAGATTTTACTAAATATATATTTTATTTATATTATTATTGTTTTGTGGAAAGTAATAGGCATTAATATGTTTTCAAGAAAGGAAGTATACTTTCTTAAATTAGAAAGAGAAGATTTTAAGAAATCTTAATTTCCACTTCTATTTTTCATTTTTCCTGATAAGGAGTTCTTACTGGGGATATGGATCAGTAATAGTAATAAATGCAAGGTTTGGTCACAAAACTGTCTTACGCCATTGTAACTTCAAATGATCACTAAGAAAAGTAGTCACTAAGCAAGAACTAGTAAAAGTTTGATTCCAGTTTTTATTAGCTGAATTAAAATGTGAATGACATCCTTTGTCTTATCTTATATATCATCTGGTTTGGGAGACAATACCCTATTTGTCAGGCAATCAAATAATATTTTGAGTATAATGGGGCAATGTAGAACAAAGATTATTGATATGAAGAGCATGTCTTGTTGATACCGATGAAGATTTTCATTTAAATCTGCATGTATTATGTAACTATATAGAACAGTTATCAATATATTTTTATTTGCAAAACATGCTCACCATCTTTCAGATTATCATTGTTATTTCTATAACATTGCCATATTCACTGGAATAAAGTTCAATAGACTGAGGAGATTGATGGGGTCTGATAATAATTCTCATGTTGGAATAAATCAAAAGTACATATGTACTTATTTTTTCTACTAACAAGTACAAAGCTCTAGGCTTCCAAACAGAGTTCAAAGGTTCATGTTTGTTATTCCATAGCAATTTTCTCTGCAGTCCCTTCACATATTTTTCAGAAAATATGGATGCTTACAATATTAAAACTAGATATGATATCATGAATAACACTTTATTTTTAGAACTTTGGCACATTTTTGAAGCACTTACTTTTTGTCCACCATCACAAAGTATGTATATAACGCCATTCCATGGAAATATTGATTTATTATCTGCGAGTGATGGATTTGGGCTCACATGAATTGAAACATTGCTCCTAGAAAATTAATTCAATTCTTAGTTTTGAACTTTAGTGAAATGAGAAAATTTGATGTAAGAAATTATAATACTTTGAGATTTGTATAGAAGAATCATAAACTTCACTATGGTTAAGGAATAATGAAAAAGTTCATATACTGATGGATCATTTAGCAAAACATCCATAAAGCACTAGAACATCACAGAGTTATTTTATTATATCGTATAGAAAAATAACTCAAAATATCAATACATTGTGTTTACATAACCTGCAATGTGGAAAATTTTCACTATATACTGCATATACAAAAGAGACACAGCAGAAAGGCTATTAACTATTTAGTGTTAGTTTAGTGTTAGTTTGTAATGGATTCTACTGCTTTCAGATTATCAAAACGTTGTCACATTCTATAAGACACACACAAAACATTCTTTCTACAGCACAGTTGTGTTCTCTTGAGTGTTAGAAAATACACCACAAAGTTGAAGGAATATGACAAAAACAAAAATTGCAGTTAAAATTTAATTAAAATTATCTTGTTAAAGTTAAAGTTATTAAACAATTAATTTACTCCATACAGATTCAGTTTGTAACTCATCAAGAATTGCAGTCAAATGAAAACATTAGAAGCCACACTTATGGCCTTAAAAAAATTCTTATAACAAAATGAAATTCATTAGACTTGCAGTACAATTCTATGCGTCTTTTAGGTAAATTCATACAGAATCAAAAGGCAGTATTTGTCTGTTCTCATTAAATATTCAGAGACAACAGAAGTACCTACCCTGGCTCAATAGTTCCGTGTTGAGGAGTTACTGTAAGACAATGAGCAGGCCATGATAGTTCAAATTTCAATGGTCGGTTTGAGGTATTGGTCATTTGTGTATATTTAGTAACTGTTGCACCACCTTTTGAAATAAGAATTGCATGAGTTTTCAGATATCTTCTACAAATATTTGAATTATATACTTACTGTTGCATTTTATATACTTATTGTTAACTTAAACAAACTTGTAAATTTTGACAAAAAATGATATTCATTTTTTCTGAATTGGTAACCAATTATTCAAGATGGAGAATTATTACATTCCAAGGTCCCATTATTTTGTATGATTAACAATTTTCAAATAAAACTAAATCAACAGGGAAAGGGTCACAACAATATTTTTATTAAGTACTAAAACTTGCTAAGTTACTCACTTTGAAAAGGAGCTGTGAGAATCAGGAATTCTGGTTGAAGAGTCCAGGTTTCATGAGAAACAAGGGTATTTTCATTTAGGACATCATTTTTTGAAGATAGGGCACAGCCATTAGGTCCTTTAACGGGTAGTATATCCAGAGTCATAGCAGATTTCTCAGGAATACCAAGTCTTTAAATAGTTAAAAACTAGTTAATTACTAGCTACCGGAATTAGGACAATAAAGAGGAAAAAGTGTAATTGAAACACAATCACTAAGTGTTATGACGTTACAACATATGATGGTTATGGGCACGCTCCATTAGGGTCATAAGCCAAGGACTTAAGCCAAAACATTTAGGGATAAATGCAACAGAGCCCAATATCAATGAGCTTGTAATGGAGGCTAAAGGATAAAGTGCCTTGCCTTTTTTATGTGTATTTATTGTGTGTTTCTGTAGATTTTTCTTTTTTTTAACACTGTTAAGCCACCCAGAGTTATTTGCTTAAGAAAGACAGCCACATAAATGTCCAAAAAAAAAGACAGATCCTTCCTTCTTTGAAACCCGATATGCTTCCTTTCCGCCTCCCTTCAAATTTCTCAACTTCACATTTTCCAAAGGAGAAACCAAGAAATATTGACATTTTCCAACTGCTAGGAAAAGTTTTTCAAAACAGTTCTAGAAGCATAAAGCATTCTTTCCCTGGAATCCTTGAGAAAGAAAGGGCACCATAATATGGTGTCATGTGAACGTAATTTTACTCTTATTCTTGAGCTACATTTTCTAAATTGTATAATTTTGTTCTAAACAAAATCAAACAAAGAACAAAGATATCAAGAATACATGAGTTAAAATACATTTTATTCAGATACAGTGTTAAAATTTACTGGTGCGTGTTAATTGGTCACTATGATCTAATTTTTTTTACTTTATCTGTAATTCTCTTATTTAATAAGGAACTGTTTATTAGCAATTTAAAGATTTAAATTTTATTTCATTAACAATTTAAAGCATTCTTCAAACAAAAATATTAAATAAGCCATTACCTCTCCAAAGCCATTTGATGTACTGAAGATGGCCTAGTATCAGATACGGTGCTAACAGAATCATTAACAACAGAGAGTGTAATCTTTCGCATGTTTGTCAAAAAATACTGGAGATCATTTAGCTGTTGTGGAAGGTCATAGACTAGAAAATAATTAATAAGGCAAATTGAATTAATGAAAGAAAAGCTCCACTATTCCAATATTATAGTTTTGCATCCCATTAATAATCTTTATAGTTTCACCATATGTGGAATGTGTTCTCAAATAATTTCACCAACAAGTTCAATGGTAATGAAAACAATAACAAATGGACTCTACATACAGGGTTGCAGGAAACTTCTATTTGCTCTGGACTTTTTGGAGAGGGATTGGATCATCTGAACAGATTTTTCTTAAAATTTTGTCCAAGTAATGACAATGGAAAAACCAGCTAGTCCCATTAAATATCTATAACAATTGTCAAAATAACCAGTTCTATTGTACATGGCAAATAAAGTAAATATACAGCAATGTGGTATGATGTGTATTGGCGCAACCAGAAAACCCAGGTTTGACTTCAGTCACAGAATCTCAATGAGTGACTATAAAGGAATTAAGAGCTAACCTCAGAGAAGGAAGAAAGGAACCACTGAAGAATTTGTAGAACAGATTACACAATCCTAAAATGAAGCAAGTATGAGAGACAAAACTCAAAATAACTTCATTATAGTACAAGATGAATCAAGAAGAAAAAGAATCAGGCGTTTAGATTCTGTTCCTTTATTATTATGACAATAAAGCGGCATTCCTTATATTCCTTTCCTATCTGTTTCTTGAGCTGGCCTGCTTTGAAGGGCTGAAAGTGGCTTTGGTCCAGCCAGTCTCTCTCAGCCCAACCTATCACACAGAAGGGCTATAGTGGGGGGGAGGGGAGGGATATGTTTAATTTTGAGCTTAATTTTTTGTTTGCTTAGAAAAGAACAATACTAATACAAATCAAGACCAAAAATATTACTAAGCTACTTAGTGCTACCTAGGAACTATAATTCTTAATAAAACTTTTTATAATAAAACTTTTGGCTAAGGTCAGAAATTAATTTCAGAAATAGAAGTAAATTGGTAAAAATGCCTAATTGACAATTCATTAGTAAAAATGTCTGGCTGGCATTAAATCAAATGCCAAGGATATGCAGTGTGTGTCAAAAACCCAATGAATGGGAATCATAGTTAGTGTCTAGAATCATGACAGAGGGAGTGAGAAGGATATAATCACCCTGGAGGAAGTAAAAGTAGAATCAATGTCAGTGAAATCTGATCTCTGAATCTGCATTAGTTTTATAATACAATGGCATTTAGAAAGTGAGAGAGGAATGCAAAGAAAGCATTACATTTTAAGTATATACATATAATATAAATGACATAGAATTTCAGAATACCTTCTTCCACCAGCTCTTCTCCGAGAAATTCTTCATCAAATTTAATATTTACTACTGGATTATCAGGAGAAAGTATTTTTTGCCATTGTTCAGGTTTATGTTGTATTGTTCTAAGTAGAAAAATTTAATATGATTTTAAAGATACCATTAGTTTCATGAAGTAGTTGATAAAAGAAAAATATTACAAAAAATAGTGGTTTCAGTTGTACCAGTTTAAAAGCAGCATATCTAAGAGTATTAACAAGCTACTGCTCGGCTACTCCTATATATACTACTCCTACTCCTATATATAAACACAATATAACAATGAATGAAATTTAAAATCAATGTAATTTTGATTCTATAAGGAAAAATACATTATCCAATACTTTAAGCATTCACGGTTAACCGAAGAATCTTACTGACAATTATTTGCTTTAGATGCATCCATGGAATAAAAAACCATTTATTCCTTCATCCATCTACAAAGAATTCTGGGCAGCAATAATTTCACTTTGTAGTGGTTCCAGAAAAGATTAATCTATTCTGAGTCCTCTGCATGATGATGGGGCTTAGGAAGTAAAGATTTTAGAGTCTATAACTAATAAAATCCATAAACATGGGGTTTTTTGAAACCAAAGTTAATTCTTTTTGGTCTGTGAAAGAGATTCATATAATAACCTGCCATTAGAATATATATTTTTAAATAATGATCTGACAGGCCTCCAATATGCATGAATCATAAAAACACCAGAATCTTTCAGATTATCAAATACAGTTCTGAAAAATGCAGGTGGGACATATTCAACTGGAATCACATTAGTTTAGAGGCTTTCCACTGGAGCCATGTGCAGTATAAAACAGTTGGCAACTAAGTTTCAGATTAAAATTGTAAACACATGCAAGAATGTATTTGGGATGCCCTGATTCACTGTTCAACAATTTAACAATGATCAGCACTGTCAAGATAAGCCCCAGAACTCTTACATTAATGAATAATTTATCAATCTACCTGGTCCTTATTAAATTGCCCTTTGATGTGAATAGTAGAATTGAAATTGTACTATTGGCACTTGATTAGGATTGTTAGTACTATAAAGAAAAAAATGAAGCTAACTGAAAGGCAATATTAAAAGTCCTCTGAATCTAGTACATTTTTAACAAATTACATGTTGAATAAATTGAACGATGAAATGTCAAAAACAGAAAAACATATAATGTAGATTAAAAACTGCATTAATCCAAATTATTCCAGTATATGGAATTAATTTTCTGATATTTGAATTTACTCCCTTCCTTTGAACTAATTATCTTACACTGTGAACAGAATGACTGTTAAGGGAATAGCTATGAGTTTTTTAAGCTACTTTGGCTTTCAAAAAAACAGATCTTACCTGCAACATTGTTGTCTCAAAATTTCATCACCATAAAACAAGCAAATTGTAGACAACACTGATGATTTCTTGATTTCTTCAGAGGAAATATATGTAATTGCAATTCTCTGAGAGAGAGAGTTATTACTGTATTAAATTTCACATATTTCTGTAAATGCTACTATATTTTATTAAAAATATGTATGGAAACAAAACAAAATAATTAAATTGATATCTTGTAATGTATAAGAATTTACAAAGGTCATGTTCATCCAAGCAATTACATGGCTGGCTTTAAATGTTTACCTGCTTTGAACCTTCCTTAAGGATGAACTTTTCTGGAAGGATTTTCATTGTATTTGGATCCATGATGTTTTTTTCATAAATGTTTTTAAAACACAATGCTTTTACATAGGCAGCCCGGGAGCCCGTATTTTGTACAGAGAAAGTAGTATGACTTGTTTTACCAGGTGCTAAATCAGGCAATCCTAATATATATCTGTTAACATGTTTTTTAACATCTTCTAATCTCAAGTTGCTTTTTCCTCCATAACCATACAATGGTATCTAAAAGACAGGGGAAAAAAACATAAACAAGAACGACATTAATTGAAAGAGTCCCTTCATATTACTCTTTGTTTGCTTAATTCAAGAAAAAGGGGAATCCTAAATTATGAAAGTGCATAAAGATCTTCAAGTACACGCACTTACCAAGTTAACAGAATGTTAACACTATAGGTTTAAACTACTTAGAGGTACCATGTCTGAAATATTGCCTTCTCTTCTATGTACTCAGGTATTTGATCCTACATATTGTATATACTTTATATTGGAGGGTGTTATCAAAACATAAGAAAATCTATATTGTATGAACAAGGTCCGAATATAGACCACCAACAGCACAATAGTCAATCAGCAAGCATTATTTTTAAAACCAAATTAATTAGATATGTAATACTAACTGAACAGGTTTTTGTTATTTTTTATTTATTAAACAAATAAATATAGCTGCCTAACTCACACATAAGTGACTCTGGGTGGCTTACAACATTTTAAAAAATCCACCACATTATAAAAACCCATAAAGAAGCCCAGCTCACTCCCCAGGGCAGTAACAACACAATCAAATCAGCAACTTAATCTTTCTTGAAATATGTCTGCAAAAAATGTTCTGAAGTGGCGTTTAAAGCTCTTATATCTCTGAAACCAAACTATTTTTTATCTGCACTTCTTTTTTCTGCTTCTTAAGAAAGTTTATAACTGTGCCATTCAAATATACAGTTTTACCACTAAGTGATGCAAGTCTTGTAATACAAAATGACCGTTGGCTTACCTGAACGGTCGTTCTCTGGGCGCTGTGGGAGAGTCCAAGCAAGGGTTAAATTCAATCTATTCACCCAAGGATTGGGTCAATTTTTTTAACCACGCCTCTTCTCCTCATTGAGGTCAGTTTAAAAACGAAGACGGTAGTCTGTGATGGACTTGTCCACGATGTGTGTTCAGTCAAGAGAGTCAATGCAGATTGGCGGCGCCCTTGATGAAGCTTTTCACCAGAGGATGCTGTGCCAACGACACCGATGAATGTCTCGTCAAAATGGTAGAGAGGGCAACCTGGCGACGAAGTGTGTTGGGGGATAACCCCTTATCCAACCCTTCCTGCAAGAAGTCTAGCAGTTACGGAATGGTCACCAAGACGGCCTCGATGTTATGAGCCCTGCACCAAGTAGCAAAAGCAGCCCAAGTGGTGTCGTAAATCCTAGTCGTGGATGCACGATGAGATGCCTAGATGGTGCGGATGATCTTGTCCGAAAATTTGTCCTTCCTCAGGAGTTTCCCCTCAAGTGCCAGGTGGCCATATGGAGTCAGCTGGGATCCGGGATTTCCTGGGCCAGTGAGGTGCTATTAAGAGAACCTCCATTTCCTCCAACAAGATCTTGCGAACCAACTGCGGGATGAGAGGCAGCGGCAGAAAAGCATACAGAAGGCCCTTGGGCCATTTGCAGCACAGAGGGTCGATCCCCTCTGCCTGCGGATTGGCATATCTCAAGAAGAACCTTGAGAGTTGGGTGTTGGCTGGACTGGCGAACAGATTGACCACCGGTCAGTTGACAAAAGGTTGATGGATGAAGTCGCCATTCTGCATTGTTGATGGTCGTCCGGCTCAGCCAGTCCGCCCACATTGTCCACTCCCAATATATGGTCCCCACGTAAGGAGGCCAGATGATGTTCCGCCCACCTCCCTAGAGCCTCTGCTTCCGCCATCAATGCTCTGGACCTGGTGCCTCCCTGGTGGTTGATGTGGGCCTTTGTCACTATGTTGTCTGTGAGCACCAGAACATGGTGACCCACAATGTTCCGCCAGAACCGTCATAAGGCTAGTCTAGGGGTCCTCAATTCTAGCCAGTTTATGTTGTGGGCTGCCTCTCTGTGTGACCACTTGCCTTGTCCCACTTGCTCCTGGAAGTGGGTGCCCCAACCCTGGAGACTGGCATCTGTTGTGACTACTAGTCGGTCCGGTTCCTTGAAGAGGCATCCCCTCATCAGCGAGAGGAGCGAGAATCCCACCACTGGACAGACTGTTTCACCTTTGGGGGCAGTCAACATGCCTGGGAGAGTTGCTGGCCTTGGCAAGCTGAATGGGTAGGAGGAACATTGTAGTTCCCTTGCGTGAAGACGCACCCAGGGAATTATGTTTATGCATGAAATCATGAGTCCCAGAAGTTGTGATAGACACACGATGGGTGCAACTGGATTCACTCTTACCTGCAGTGTGCGGGTGATGAGATTGTGTCTGCGGTCTGGAGACAGGAACATCCGGCAACTGTCTGAGTCTATGAGTGCTCCCAGGTGCAAGATGTGAGTCGACGGTGTCAGCTGACTCTTTTCCCGATTCACCAAAAACCCATGATGCTGCAGGGTGGAGATGGTTATCTGGAGATCTCTGAGCGCTTGGTTGGCGGATGCAGATAGAATCAAGATGTCTAGATAACAAAGAAGGCGTATTGACGGAAGAGCAGGTGGGCCACTATGACCGCCAATATCTTTGTGAAAGTCCTCAGTGCTGCCGACAGACCGAATGGCAGATTTCAGTACTGGTAATGCTTGCCATCATAGTAGAATCTGAGGAACTTCCTGTGGGACCTGCGGATTGGGATATGCAGGTATGCCTCTTTCAGGTCGATGGAGGTCAACTTGTCCCCTCATCTGATGCAGCCTAGGATGGCCTGTAAGGACTGAATCTTGAAATGCTTGTAGGCCAGATGCCGATTGAGATTTTTGAGGTCCAGTATGGCCCTCAACCCCCAGAGCTTTTTGGGAGGAGGAAAAGAATGGAGTAAAACCCCCATTTCTCCTGCTCTACAGGGACTGGCTCTATGGCATTTATCTGTAGGAGATGATGGAAGGAGACAGGGATAGGGCAACGGACGAAGGTCCTCGGAGGAAGAGACAGGAACTCCATGGTGAGTCCCTGTCTGATCGTATTGAGGACCCAGGCCTCTGTGGTGATCAACTCCCATCGAGCAGCTTAAAGTTGGAGACGGCCACCTATGGGAGGATCCCGTTGGTGGTCACTTGGACCTATGGTAAGGGCGGTTGCTGGAGCCTCCACAAAATGAATGCTCAAAGGGCTGCTGTTATTGTCGGTGCTTGTCCTTGAAGCCTCCCCTATCCTGGCTGCGGTCATTGCCCTGGGGGAAGAATCTCTAGTAGGAGGTACCCTCTCCTGAGGAGTCAATGCCCCGAAAGGGCTGTTTCTGAAAAAAAAAAATTGCCCTTTTTGTCTGCCTTCCTAGTGG